GAGCCAGCTGCGATGAGAAAGAGACAAGTCATGTGAGCGTCGCACAAACAAGAACATGGCACGCCCGCCCTGGGGCGAGGTGCAGGGTTGCACACTCACGTGTCGTTAAAGTCGAGCCAGCGGACGAGCGCGCCATTGTTGAAAGCGGCGCGGATGGGGTCGAGGACGTGATCGGTGCCAATCACACGTGCACCGTTGGGGACGACGGTGCCTGGGACGACGGGACCGGTGATGGCCTTTGCCTGGGGGTAACGCAGCGCCTCAATGCCGCAGCCAAGCGTGTCGAGCAGGCAAAGGCGGGCTGTCTTGTACGCGACGTCACTGTTGATGTCGTAGTTGTGCACGTAGTCAGCAATGTCCTGCAGCACCTGGTCGGGCGGCGGACGGACGTTGTCCTCGCCTGCGCCGAGGCCGCCGGCCATGGTCACGGCCGAGGTAGAGAAGAAGGAGGCGTTGGCGGAGAGCGCGAAGGGCGCAAAGCGGCGGGCGAGGGCGAGCTTGGTACTGCGGCTGGCAGAGACCTTGCTCACGCTGTTGCGCGGGAGGGCAGATGCGCCGGCGGCGGTGGAGAGAAAGCAGGAGAAGGCTGCGACTCCGCGGCTAGCAGCGGCCGGGCCAGCGGTGATGGTAGAGGAGGCGCGGAGGGCGTGGAGGGCAGTGGGGGAGACGAGGCGAGGCATCTGGTCCGATTCGGTGCCCAAGGTGTTCTCCGTCGACGAAGAGCACGGGGATAAGGAGTTGTTGGGCGGGTGGAGTGCTGTGCTCTGTTCTGCTCTGCTCTGTAGAGATGGAAGCAAGAAGAGGGTTGACGAGGATGAGGATGCAAAGGAAATCAACGACCCGCCGTTCATTCTTACCACGAGAATCGCCCTATGGTCTCTCAGCCTCGGTCTAAGTCAGTCTCTCGGCTCTGCGCGGCTCTCTCGGCTTTGCACGGGCCCGGCAGGGCGGAACGAGCTATTCAACTTCACCCCATTCCGCACCCTGTCGCTTTTCACACGCACGCTCGGTGGTTGACTGGCTCACTAACCAACCCGCACAACAGAAAGAGGAGGGGGTGGGGAAACAAAAGGCGGCGTCCTTCTAACCCTATTTATGCAAACACACAAGCACGCCCACCCATCAAATGCCAGCCAATATCGGCAGCCACGCCAGGACAGCCAAAGGTTGGGCAACTGGCAGCGCTGTCCTTTCGCTGGCATGCTGGCTGGCTGACGTCCTGCTCAGCTACTACGAGTGCTAGACTGCACAAGATGAATGTCCCCCGGCATGCCTTGCACACAAAGAGAACATGCACATACCTCGCTGGGGATCGCGCACTGCACCCACGCCCAGATGCACTCAGACCGCCTCCGCTGCTCATTGCACTGCAGCACATCGGGGCGGTCACTGGAGAGGCAAGATCATCTCGCCCCGAGCTCTGAGATCGTGTACATGATGCGCTTCTGCAGGAGCTACTACTACTACTACTACTATTACTAATTACTACTACGAGTGTCTCCCTAATATCGATGATAGTCGACGAGTGTCTCCCTAATATCGATGATAGTCGTCTTGGCGTCGATGACGGTGTCGTGATTGTTGCGCTCCACACCCTTTCGAAACGCTGCTACGCTCTGACATGCAGCGCCTCGATAAAGTTGCTCAGGTGCGGCGCAGCGACCTCGACCACCGTCGTCTCGAACCGGTCGTGCTCCGTCCGCGCGCCGCTCTTCTGCGCGGCCTCCTGAAACGCCAGGCCGAACCGGTTCCTGCGTACGTCGCCAAAGTCCGTTGCGCCGCTGACGCCGACGACGAGGTACGTGTGCGCACTCGCATCGAGCGCAGCCACCACGAACGGCATGCTCAGCGGCGCATCGCCCGCCTGCGGCAGTGATAGCGTTTCGGCCGAGGCGTCCTTGTCCGTCATCTCCTTGCCCATGCCCCTTTTCTTCTTGCGCAGCCTCCGTGTCGCAGCGTGCATGCTCTCCGCCTCGACGATCGAGTCGCGCAGCGCGTCGGTCAGCCACGTCGCCAGGCGCGTCAGCATCGCAGGGTGCGCGAACAACGCCAGGTCCGGCCCATCCTTGAGCACGACCAGCCGGAACGAGCGCAGCGTCCGGATCGCTTGCTTCTCGATGAGCGAGATCCCGCAAGCAATCACCGCACGGTGCAGCGCTTTGGACAGCGACAGTGACGCTTGCAGAAGGTCGATGCTGCATCGGTACCAAAGGAAGCAGAATCAGTAAAAAAAAAGCATGCTGCCGACACCCCACGCTGCAGCCTTGTCGCTTTGGCACCCACCTCTCGGCCCTAGACATTTCCAGTGCATTATAGGCAGTGAAGAAATTCTTGATCCACAAGTCGCGCTTGCGACTGTTCTTTTGCAGCTCAATCTCCGCCGCTTGCACGCTCTGCCCATCGACAGCAGCTGCATGCGCGCCTCGACTGGCATCTGCAGGAGCAAGCGGCATGTTCTCCTTGCCAACGGCTGCTTTGCCCGCCTCGCCGCCCGGTCCCCCGCCTGCGCTTGCGCCCCGGAGGCTCCACACGCGCCGCGAGCCGAACAGGTCGCTGCTATGCAGTTGCCCCGGCACACAGCCGAAGCGCATCTCCGCTGTGCCGCCCCCCGCACCGTTGACTGCTGCGGCGGCAAACGTCATACCGGGCGTGTCGACTTCGAGGCGGACGCCGTACGCAGCCTGCAGCAGCGCCCAGATACCCTCAACAGCATCTGCCGCGCTGAGTGGCGCGGCGCGGAAGCCAAACGAGCGGATGAACGAGCGGTACACCAGCTCCGTCATGCCATACTCTGGCGCGATGTTCTCCATACGCTCCACCAGCGTCCGGCGCAGGTCCAGGTCCATGTGCTCGTACGTCTCTCGGCAGTTCGCCAGCGAGAAGCCCATCTTGGCGAGCAGGCCGCGCAGCT